AGGTAGACGATGTCGCCAGCGTGGTACGACGTCGCGCACTCGAACGTCAGCTCGGTCACGTCGTGCGGGTGCGCGGCCGCCTTCTGGACAACGACAGGCGCCTGAATCGTGGCCGACGACATCATGCGGTTGCCAATGTAGAGCACGATCGTGGCGATCTAGACGAGGGATCGTGTATTATGTGTGACGTAGTTCGGACTTGTCGGTGGACGGGATCATGTGCATTGAAGTTCAACGTACCCTGTCCCAAACCTCGGGTTGTCTTGGGGCAGGGTGTGGTCTGGGGTGTGGTTGGTCTTTGTAGTTGCGGTGGGGCATAGGGCCGGTGGGCCATCTAGCGGTCTTTCTGCGTGGCATGCACAGTGGTTTGATCCGTGTAACTTACCGTGTTATTGCACGGGCCCGGCAACCGCCGGGTGCCCTTGTTGCGCTCGTGCCGCGCTTCGCACAAAAAAGTCGTTGTTCAATTAAAAGATACTAGTAGACAATACCAAACGCGAGCGTGTAAGATTGGCCAGAGCTCTAAAATGGACGACTTTTGATCCGAGTACGGTGCAGCGACAACGTCGTCGAGGAAGAAAGCGACCAACCACGGCACGCACAGTCAAATTTATGTCGGTTCCGACAGCCGGCCATTTAGACGACGTCCACGATCGCCGCCAAAACGATGTGGGGTCCGAGCATGACGAGCCATGCCGGGGCACAGCTGCGGGGCACTGGTTGGCGGTAGGTGCACCATGGGAAATGAGCGGGAGTGCTATTCTAATTGGCCCAAAGCAGCGTGGGTGCGCCAAATTGACCCGTGCAGTTGCCAAGTGCGGGTGCTGCGTTCGTGCAATGCAACACCCGCACTGGTACATGTACAACTTTCATGCGCATGCGCCAGGAAGCTGTTTTGGCCGTCTAGATAGACGCGATGAGTCGACAGCAACGTCGAGAGTAGGCTAGATATCTGGTAGTCATTTTGCATTTACTGGTAACGTTAGCATTGTCGCTTTCAACCCGCCACTTTCAAATGACTAGCGATACTAGCGACTAGAGTTGATCAAATCATCGACTATGACCCTACTCGAGCGTCGTACAAGGTGAAAAGTTGGCTCGAACAGGCCATTGAATAACG